TTGAAAGTTTCCGCGTTGTCCGATATTATCATACGCGGTCTCGTTCTACCGGTAATGAAAGCATTGAGTTTCCTCTGAAATCTTGCAGCCGTTTGATCTTTCGTTACTTCCAAATGAACCGCTCTTAAGGCTGCGACGTAAATATTAAAACATAGCATTTTCCGTCTTCTTTCTTAGTAATGTTTATAGTACAGCGATCCTGCAAAGTTCACGCCTGTCACTTCAAATGGTCGGTCACCTTCCGTTCTAAAACTTGGCATTTTCGCTGTGATTGGGGCTTCAAACGGTTTTGCCGAATATAAATTGCAAACGTTACACTTGTTGATGACTTTCTTCACTTTCTCAGGTAACTTTGGAATCCACCACGTTTCTCGAAGAGTTGCCATTGTATTTGAAACACCGAGATGCATGATCTGATTGTGGACATGAGTAATAAGCTTGTTCTCAAACGCTCCTCCCCCAAGATATATTGGCTGATTATTCGTTACTCGTCCTTCGCATTTGAGTATCCCGGTGTCACGCTCTTCTACCAAACTCCATCCCGGCGACTGAATATCTGGCCGATCTTTCTGCTGCACTCTTCTCACACATTTATTTCTGGCACTCATGATTTCGTCCGTATTTAGTGGACCATTTCTTCGTTTGTCTCTCCTTGCTTTAGAACGACAGTTGTTTACAAAGCGTAAAATCCAGGCTGTGACTCGTAAAGTTCGCCAATATGAACTTCGATCGAGTAGATCATCCCATTCATCGGTTTCTTGCTCATTACAGTAGAAGATTGGTTCATTGGCTTTGTACTCACCATGTGTTTCTCTGTTCTTCTTAAGTTCGGGTTGTTCAAGCCACTTGTCCTCAGGAGCCAGTTTGGTCCTGCAAACCACTCTTGGCTCTCGAGCTTATCAATAGAGAGTTTAAGTTCGACTTTCGATACCAATACCAATAATCGATGTCTTCACTTCCGTTCTCATTTTGGTACCGGGAATTTTAAAGAGTTAAGTTATCACGACAGATAAAGTATAGAACACTGAACACATTAATCGTTACCGAAAATGTGCGGTATACTAAACGGCAGCTGAGCTAAAATTCCGACTAAAACATGACTCAGGCTATGCTAGTAAACAAATAGTTTACGTGTTTATCGAAAAAAATATGAAATATCCGATTTATATGAGTTTATCTTACAATTCCCACGACTTCCAAAACAAAGCCGACCTCGTGGTGACTTCCAATACACTTGTCCTCGTGCTTCTTGTGAGCAGAGCGCATGCGCATGATCTGTTGTTAGTATCAGTATTGGTATCGGAAGTCGAACTTAAACTCTCTAATGCTTGCACCCCTGCTTCCTAAATATGCAAGGTTCATCTTTGTCGGGCAGTATTTCCACACAATGTTCACTTTGTCGGTTATCTCCGCCATTTGCTTGACCCTGTTGGCTACGAACACCCTCCAAGCTTTGCCCGGATTGTTTATCCAAAATAGTCGGACTTGATAGTCCATCCGCGTAAAGCGTTGCACAGGTTTCTTGCCACGTTTGGGATATAGATTCATGTCTCGCTAATAGGGTTAGCGGTTAGGGTTAGGGTGGGGATTGGGGTTAGCATTATAAATAGCGAGACATGAATCTATAACCCATGTTTGCGGCCATATGACCGCTGACAAGCTCGAGCCTCGGAATTGACGTGTCCCGTTTTGATATTCACGACTTCGAAGCTAGGAGGCCTTTGACAACGCCCGTATTACTCTCCACAACAGAGATAGCTACTGAACAACAGGCTAATTAAAGTACTTGCATCCGCAAAGACGTGAAGGTGAACTGCTTTCATTCTCTTGATAATCTTATTAATGCTTCGAGGCACCATAACTGCTTAGTCCACTTCAACCATTGGAATTTCGATTGAGGAGAAACTTCCGCATTCCAACCTTTCTTCTCGTCACATACATTGCGATAGATTCGTTTTCCCTCAGCTAGGGTCGGAGAGATTATACCAAGTTGATCATATATGCTTCCCAAATGACTAAGGATGCTTCGTTTGGTCACTGGTTCATCTTCTGGGTAATCAGGAACTGTTATCTCAAGGGTTTCCTCTCGTTTTTCCCACATATGTCCCAAGAATGTTGTAGGGTTTGGCATGCCATTGCTTTCTATGGACTCGACATTACTTTCCCATTTGTGGACGAGAAATTTACCACTTTCCAAGATCCTGTTGCTTTCATCTTTGAATTTCACCAAGCTACTCAGATCCTCGCCGCCGTGCATTCAATTGTCCACATAGGTATTTTCCTTGAAAGCGTCGATGGTATCTTGATATTCCGAGGGTTGGTTTCCGAGGTGGTATTGCAATGTTGCACCTAATACAAAGGGACTAGCCTCCGCTCCGAACGTGTGAATCGTAGGTGTTTCTCCATGTCATTTACGTTCTATAGGAATCTGAAGGAATCACGATCTTCCTCCTTCACTTCAGTCTGAAGAAAAGCTTTCTGGATGTCTGCTAATATAAGATTCTGCATTAACCGTGCTCGTACTGTCCCATAGATGCGGTTGCAACGGAGGGCCATTATACATGCATTCGTTTATGCTCTCAGCGGTTTTGCACTCGCATCAAAGACCATTCGTATTTTTGTTGTGGTAGCATTCTGGCGCACAACCGGTTTGTGCGGAATTTTATAAACCCGGTCCCCAGTGGGGGTCTCTGGGGCTACTTCCACTACTCCCTGGCTTAACTGTTCGTTTATAATTTTGTTGTACTCTCGCTTTAGTTCAGGGGTTTTATCTAATTTTCTATCGACATTCTGTAACCGTTTCCTACTCTGCTGTTCGTTTGTATCCGACTGTCTTTTCCCTCAAATCCATGGAAAAGTGACCTCATACCTCCCTTCCTCCTTTCTCGTAATGTTCTCTGTAAACTCATTCAGAATTTCACTGTTGGTGTCTCCTCTGTCCTCGACTCCCAAGACGTCTAAACTATACAGTCTCTCACAGTCACTTATCTCTCTTGCAACCATGCACTGATCATCGTTGTACTCATCGCCCCCATGGATTACTCAACCGAAACTGGTTTCTTCAACTATCGGGTCTCCCTGCTCCCCCTGCACACTGTTTCAGTTCGGATTCGACTAAACGTGTTGTCTCCAATGATGAGATGAATCTGGCATTTCCCATTTTCAGTATAGTAAAATGTTTTGTCCTTTGTGTGTGTTCATGCTTTAATTTTAGCTCAGGAATATGAGGTCTTCTGACTGTCGTAAAGTCTGGAAGTTTCGAACCGGTAACCTCGATTTTCTCTCGTGCTCCCCCGTCAAGAGCATTGATTTCTACTTCGTAAGTCGGCAGTGACTGCTTTGTAATCCCATTCAGAGTACCAATTTCCCCCGGTTCATGGCGTTTTGGCTTCAAATTTAACATTTTTGCTGCGTCCCGAGAAACAAAGTTCCTAACAGAACCAGTGTCTAAATAAGTCCACATCATCTCCCCCCAAATCTTGACTAGAATAATGGCTGGTAACGAATTCTTCTCAGGGGATCTGCTGTACCGTTGAGTACACCCCTCGATCGTCTCATATTTGGGATTTTGATTCTTGTCACATATGCTGGTGTGATGCTTTGACCCACACTTGAAACAACCTCGGCTACGGCACTGGGACCCCCTATGACCAGTACGTCCACAATTGAAGCATAAGTTCTTGTCGACAAAGAACGTCTTCCTCTGATCTTGTGTAAGTACTGTTTTGCACTCATCACTCCAGTGTTCCTCGCTACAAAATATGCACTTCGGTTTCCCATCCTCCCTACCAATTTCTTTCTCTCTTCCGGTTATCACTTGGGGGTTTGGAGCCATCATCACATTTGTTTTTCTTCAACCATGCTTGTAAGTTGTTAATCAGAGCTCCCATCTCCCATTCCTCCCAGCTGCTATCCACCCTTACTAAGTCGGACTTTACATGTGGTAATTTGTTCAATGTGTTCATAACAAATCCTTGTAATTTTTCCCCCTCTCCTAGGGTTTGTAAAGCATCAAAGTTTCTGCTTAGTTTATCATAAAACTCTTGAATTTTCTCATGATTATTTCCTCTAATAGTAGGTAACTTGATGATTTCATCTAAGTGCGCACTGATCATTGCTCGGGTTTGCCCATATACCTTTTTTAAACGGTCCCATGCCGTTTTATACCCCATGCACAGAGCTTGGTCTTAGATTAGAAATTCTATCTCTTACCTTAGCAGATAATCAAATTTTTCTTCCTCAGAAATCGGTCTGCTGTCAACTTCAGTCAGAAACATACTTTAAAACCGAATCCAATCAGCTGCCGTAACTTTAAATGGTGCAATCTTCAAACGTGGAAGTTATGCCAGATTAGGCCACTCCAAATTAGACTTTAGTTTCCCGTCCCCCGCCCGCGTCTCCTAGAACTGGCCGCATGATTTGTCCATTATTGCGAAGTTGTTTCCATTATTTGACTTTTGTGACAAACAATTACGAAAAACCACAGTTTTCAAATAATCTATCGTTCAAGAAATACATAACTATGATACAACACGTAAAATCGAAATAAAATTCTTGAAACTTTGTCAAAGAGCGTGAATTTGTTTCCGTTTTCACTACGAACTGCTGAGCTACACACTTCTTCCGTTACAAGTTTTGATTTTTGAACGTCAAAACCGATGAGGTTAATATCCTGGCTTTCATTTCTGCATACAAAAACTCTAAAACATTGCGTAGAAACGTGACTGAATGGATATTTAAAACGAGTATCTATTTCATGAAATAATGGGCCGTGTTTCATCTTTCAGACACCATAATGGATAATGGAAATTGACCGCCCGCGTGTAATTTGAAATAAGGGCCGGACGGGAAACTAAAGTCTAATTTGGAGTGGCCTTAGCCTTTGCCTGTGTTTCCATTTCAATCCTTTTCTCGGTCATTCGTAATTCTGCGTTGAATTTTTCTTCCCACATTTCTCTTTCGCGCTTTGTATCAACTTTTTTTGAGAAAAAAAACCCGCATGAACACCTCATGCTCATTATTATTTGACAAAATCCGCCATTAACCCGAGCACTTTCCAGTAGCTCATGTATTCCTCGATCAGTATGACGTTTTCAACAACCTGAACAAGTTCAGCTTGTTACTCTGCTGCGGTACTTTACAAGGAAGAAACGCTGTTACGTCATTTGCATACAATGAGTAATTAAATATTTTGTCAAAAAATATTTTAATAAAAGTTAGAAATGAATTATGAAATGTGTGATTAAAATTCGTTTCGTGCAATTTGGTGTGAAAGCAAACTAGGTTGTCATGGCTAGATGTTTTCTGGTTGGCTAATATTTTACACGTAAATATGGCAATCATGCTACAGATAACTGTCTTATCTGCTGGCAGATAACTCGTATGAATAAGCGATGTTTTTCTGAAAGTTCTTGTACAAAGAAACACATTTTGGAACTTTCCATTGCATAAAATTGAGTAGGTTGACTATCAGACTTGAAAAACCAATAATATAGAGAATTTAATTTTTACCAAAAATGAAATAACTGGCGTTGTTATGGTTACCATGATATTTGAAATGTCTTTTGTTTTAGTTTCAAAGTCATCAAATTTTTCACGTGCTGGTTGTAGCAGGAGCATTTGTCCACCTTCATGGTGTCTGCCAGATGGCTTACTACAGATATACCGTGGGATCATGTCCTGGATAGTTCATGGCACAGCAATATATTAGTAAGCTAGTATGTAAATGTCATTCAATTTATATATTGCATTCCTTGGTGTAAATTGTTATAAATAAATAATAATATACATGAAAATAATTCTCGATTCTTCTTGGCTAAGAAGAGTACAATGCTATGATCGAAATACTTTATACCAAAAAAGAAATATTTGGAAAGCGTCAAAACAAAAGATATTTTGATTTAAGTTTTGACTTCTGACAATTCTATTACAAGTTGACGTTTGTGATGTTACTCTGAGTGTATATCCACATCACAAACATATTATTCACCTGAGTACACAACACCGGTACCAACACAGAAAAAAATCTATTACAAGTTGTTGTGTCATTCATATGAGTGAGTTTCAGGCATGCAAATGACTGCATATTTTTTTCATGTACATTATTAGTATAAGTAATAGTATGGTTTCCCATGCAATTTGGAAAAAACAAATCTTGATCGTCTTTAAAAGGCCATTCGTGCATGCTTTCCAAATTGCACTCGAAGCCATACTATTACGAAATGAATGCAATTCCGAAAATTGAGTGTTTTAGAATCATGTTTTGATTAATAATCTTATATGTGTTTTTATGTGTGTTAAAATCGTGCTTTGATTAATAAAATCATGATTTTAACACTTAATTTTCGGAATTGCATTAATTTATTATAAATAATTATGAGTAATTTTCAGTGGTTAAGGTATAAATATTATTTCTAGTTGATTTGATGTAAACATTTGGGTATATAATTAATTTAGGTAATAACTTAATATAACACAACGTGTATTTGCAGTATGATCAAAAATTTTATTTTCTTAAACGAAAGTGCTCGTAAAACGGTATAATAACTTGTTTTGAAGATTTTTGTTCGCATGCTTAGTTCTTGAGATATTTCATTTTGTTTGTAACCATGTGACGTCATTTACTCAATTACATATATAATGAGATATCAGTAATTGACTAATTGTTGTGTATCTTTGCTATTTTTATCAAAATATTTCGAAAGATGTTTGTTAATTTAACCTGCATCATTACAGTTGATTTCATATAACTTTTCCCTGAATGTTCGTTCCGAACTTCGTTGTGAAGTTCAAAAGTTCATACTGAAATTTACAAGCCGGTTTGTAAACAAAGCCTCTGATTGGTCACTGAACAAAAATAAGCCAATCAGAAGCTTTGTTTACAAACCGGCTTGCGAAATTCAGTATGAACTTTTGAAGTTCGGAACGAAGTTCGCAACATTCAGGGAAAAGTTACGTGAAATCAACTGTAAGCATACTGTGTTTTTTAACAAATCGATCAAAAATAGCAAAGATACACAACAATTACTGATATCTCATTATATATGTAATTGAGTAGATGACGTCACATGGTTACAAACAAAAGAAATATCTCGAGAACTAAGCATGGGAACAAAAATCTTCAAAACAAGTTATTATACAGTTTTACGAGCATTTTCGTTTAACCTTTGGTTTAAGAGAATAAAATTTTTGATCATACTGCCCCTTTAAAGTATTCTTGTACATGTAATTTACTGCAGAGTTTTGAATACTTACTCAAGTTTAGACTTTAGAGTAATGAATCTGATAATTAACAGAACTATTTGCCAAGGTATTGGGCAGGTCCAATAACACTGATCAAGTTGCTCTCTCGTCATGTTGTAGATTATCTTTCAGATGGTTGAAGAACGTAACAATGATAACGAACATTAGACAAAGAATATTGCCTATTATTAAAGAACTGTTGAATGAGGTTGAGCATGATATGAAGAATTATCAAGCTATAGAAGTTTGTGTTAAGAATGAGGTAGAAGATGTTAAGAATTATCAAACTCAGGGCTTGATGTGAAAAATTACCAAATTGAGTGCTTGATAATTCTTCATATCTGGCGAAAACCGAATTCGATAATTGTTTTATTATTTATTGTGGATTCAATTCGTCGAAATAATGACCAGTTCATTTTTTCATAGTCAACGTTATTACGTCAGTCGTTGAATATTATGTCAAAACTCCATATTTGGTCAGCTATTAACTTGACGTGATGATTTCACAGTTGGCTCTTAAGCCAATCAGAAACCATGAATTTTAAATAAATAGTAAAACTAATTATTGAATTCTGTTTTCGCAAGATGTGAAGAATTATCAAGCCCTTATAGTTTGTGTTATCTTCGGGATTGATATTCTTTATATCCTGCTCAACCTCATTCAATATTTTTTAATTATTAATTGACTCATAAAACTCTCAAGATTTATAAATGCATGCGATGTAACCTGATTAATAGATTTATAGCGTAATTCTCATTTTTGAGAGTGAAGGGATGTACGAAAACAAAAAATACAATATTTAAACATGCTTTTAGCTATAATTTATATGTTTAATCTGGCGGCCACATTCCAATGGTCAGTTATTACTGAAACAGCAGATGAATCGTGTAGCTGGAAGTTTGTAACATATCATGAATGGGCAAGAGGTGCAAACCGAAAAAAATTCCCTAAACTCATAACTTCCATGATTCGACCTTATATACTTCAAATTCATGTGGTTTCAAAAGTTTTTTGTTAACACATACACTGAGAAACCGCAAACAAACTGAGGTATTCAATATTTCTCTAGGGAGATACGGGGTTCACAGGGATACGCATCCGTCAACCCCTACTTTTGGGGCTGCCAATTTCCGTATCAAATCATATTTTCGATTTCGAAGGGCAATATCCTAGCTATCACAGAATAAGGCACACAGAAGGTCGACTCGAGTAACCGCTGCTACGCCATGATTCATCAACAAAATGCTGATGCCATGATTCATCAACAAAATGCTGACGCCATGGTCCTCTGGTCCTAGCCAGTGCGCGTTTGAGAGGCATCCCCCCCCTGGACGTCCGCCATTTTGAATGTAATCGGGAGGGTGAATGCCTCTCAAACGCGCACTGGCTAGGACCATGGCGTCAGCATTTGATGACGAATTACGGGTTACGCCAAAATCATAGGAAAATCATAGGAAAAACCAAGAAGTTGGCCTTCTGTGCACCCTATTCTTCCCTATTCTGTGATCCTATCACTCTTACCACATTAAGGCTCTAGAACTAGCCCGCGTGCAGGCTACTCTAGAACTGGCATAAATTCGCTAAGTGGAAAAGGGGCTTTATATTACCAAAATTTTGTTGGCATATCACCACAACTGGAGGGTTTTGTATATGGAAATTACCGAGTGGAAATTCTATATACATTTATTGAACCTAAACAGCTGCGAAAAATGTAGAGGCCCACTAGAACTGTGTCGGTAATCCTTTTATTAGAGAGCTTAAGTTCCACGAAGCTGCCGGCTCAACGACGCGTCTGAATTTCAGCTCAAGAATGAGCGCTAAGCAATTTCATTACCGTATACGTAATAAATGTTTGAAGATTAATTTTCAAATAGCATTACAAACTGCTAAGTTCGACTAAAGAGATACAATGTTTGCTCTTGGGTCGCAATAAGCTTTCGCGTTGCTTCAAAGACGTGATAATGCTTCGTTTAACGTGTGCTGAGCATGACAACGCCGTTGAGAATACTTGTGTTACGCACAACACGAGTGAAAATTGGGAAAAGCTCGAAATTGTGTGGAAACATGAGGCCCGGAGGGCGGAGTTTTCACACAATTTCAGGAAGAGATTATTTCGCTGGCCTCAAAGTGACAAAACGTAACAAAGCAACGGTTTTACTAACACTAACCCTACTCCAAACACCAACTCTAACCATAACCCTAATCCTTACCCTAACCCTACTCCAAATTTGTTTCTAACCCAATCTTGAAGAAAAAAGTTTTGACGAAATGTCATTCTGAGGTCAGCGAAATAGTTGATGCCACAATTTCTGGGCATTTTTTAACTATATAACTGGGGGACCAAAGCCCTCCAGCCCCCACCCCATGCTTGCACTCAACCAGTTTGCCCCAGTCAAAATATAATTCTAAAATATAAGCAAAACATGGAATTTAGAAGGGAGGTTTGATATTCTAGTAACTGAAATTTGCTTTGTGAATCTTATGGCCTGTCTTTTAACTTTAATGCTAAACATTGTGTTGTAAATACCTTATTAGATTTTAAACATTTTCCAGTGGATTGCATTTCCATATCCAATTTAAAATTTTCCAGTGGATTGCATATATATATATATATATATATATATATATATATATATATATATATATATATATATATATATATATATATATAAAAGCTCACTTCCCTTGTGGTCGTTTGAGCACTCTGGCCCCATTACACTCTGC